TCTGCGTGATTCTTTTTTGTTGATGTGATGGTAACTCTTAACACTTTTGCATCATAGCATCCTTGACCGTAACTTTTCACCTAGTGATTACATGATAGTCAGTATAGTCGTTGAGTGCATTGTGTTGTGGGGAAGCTGAAGCGCACTGCCCTTGGTCTTCTCCTCGTAGCAGGTCGTAGTAGGTGGTGGACCATTATTCCACCACTAGCAGTGCTGCAAAATATGTTCGCTTTACTCAGCTGAGCTCGAAAGTTTCCTCACAAATCACAGGAGTTTATATACGAATCGGAAGAAAAGTGTACAGAAACTAACAAAATTTCCTCAGAGTTTTGATTTGGTCACCAACACATGTGGTTTATCATATTCAAATTTTACCACACTGACCACTAGAGTTGTCACATGTCAGCATAACTAACTAATTACCACTGCATGCCTAACGTGGGTCTCGATGCGACGAGGGCCGGCCCTCGGAAGACGGTGGCTGTGATAGGGGGTTCGTTCGATCCTCCGACTCTGGCTCATCTGATGGTGGCTTCCCAAGTGAGTACGGCTGAGCTTCGAGCGTTTGCCCAGTTTCAAGTTTCTGTGCTGCGCTGTGTTGGGATATTCGTTGTATTTTTTCAGCTGAGCTCAGAAATTTTAGAAGCTTACCTACGAATTTGAGTAAAAATGGACTCGGAATTTCCCAAAATTTCCTCAGAATTTCCGGATTATCACCAACGCATTGCATACCTCCCCACACTGGTGCTTCGTATCAGGTAGTTCAGCTGGGCTGTGCGGATGAGGCATGGATGATACCATGTGGCAACAGACCCGACAAGGACACTCAAGCTGATGTGGTGACACGACTGCGCATGACCCAAGCTGCCATAGAGGCGGTGGTCCCGGAGGAGTTTCCGATCAAGTGCTGCGACATTGAGGTGAACAAGCTAGGGATAGTGAACGATTATTCCCTCTCAGCGATTTACAGGTGGTTAACGGGTCATTTATTCAGACGGTTTTCCTAATGCGTCGCCTCCGAGAGCGGCATC